TTGCAGATAAAGTTGAAGCCCAGTTTCTAATCCAGTCCCAATCACATTTCCTTCCCACCCCTACCCTAACTAACAAGTCACATGGGATTTGTGTGTATCCTTCCAAGAAAAGGGAATTTTTAACAGTACGAATTGAGCTACCTGTTTTTAAAAGCAGGGATCATATTCTTTTACTAGTGTTAACACAGCACGGTATATATCAGGTGCACATAATGTTTATTGAATGAATTAAACATTGTACAGTTAAATGAAGCTTCTAGAATAAGGACTCTGCTTCCAAGGTGCAGGTCTCTGGGTAGCTCGTGGCTGGAGGTCAGCGGGAACATGTGTCTCCTTGTTTTCGAGCACTCTGGTGACGGTCTTTCAGGTACAGCAGGTTGCTGAGTTCTGTGGGGTCCTAAGCAGACACTCTCTTCATTTTAGGTTGACTTCCCCAGAAATCTAGCCAAGTCTGTCACCGTGGAATGAGAGAGACCATCGCCACCTTCAGCCTGATTCCAGACCTGTCCAGACAGCAGGGATGCCGCGTGTTCTGCGTGTTCCCGGTAGAGCTTGACAGCTTCGACGTGCCTTGTACCCAAGTGCTTTTGCTTACAGCGAATGCTGTTTCTCTGTGTCCTGAAGTCGCCAGAGGAGAAGGGAATCATTGTTTACACATGGGGAGCAGAGCGAACTTTTCCACTACTGTGCAATAGAGATGCAGCTCTCTGCAGAGCAACTGTGAACCTTTTTAAACCAACACTAGTTAGTTTTAAAACACAAAGTATTTATAATGATGATTGTATAGCTTGTAAGTTATTTTTCTATGTGGCTTTCTGTAGCCGTGGTAATGCCCAGACCTATGCATCCCAGCTACCCAGTGCACCATCTCCGGGCTCGTTCCTGGTGGGTGGCATTCATCTCAGATTCGAGCACAGGGCATTGACCCTCTGGACTCCTTCTCCTTTCCTCCCCTTAAGCTGCTCCTGAATCCCATCCCCTGACATCAGGAAGCCCCTCCAGCCATCTGCCCACGCCGCCTGTAAGTCCAGTTGAAATCTCAACTTCCTTCAACATTTTCTCATCTATAGCCCAGATCCCTCCAACTCCCCAACTCTGTTTAATCTGGTTCTTGCTAAGCCCAGGCAGCATTTTGATTCCTGCTCCCTGCCTGTAGTAAAACAGCTTGAAATGTCCCATGCAAGAGAGTAGTGACACGTGGGCTACCTTGCTCTCTATTTAAAAGCATGCACAATCAAAGTACTATGCAATTTTAAGACAATAAAGAACATACAATTTTTTTCTCATGTGTTTGGATTTTGTTAACCTCGTTCTTTACGTGTGAGGGCTCTGCAGGAGCTCAGTAGTGTCTGCGGGAGCGGTGCTGTTAGTAACCGCTGGCATTGTCCACACCTGCGACCCGCATGCTTCTAGTACGAACATGAGGGCTACTCTACAGGATACAACAACATGCAGGAGATTTGAGACGTGGCTGAGGGTCCACGGAACCTGGAGGGGACTGGGCCACTTGATGCTGCTGAAGATGGCTGCCCAGAGCCTGGAGGCCACGTAGAGGGGCGAAACTTCCAAATTTGAATTTTTTTCCCAATGAGCCTGTTCTAGTCACTGATTTTATTAATACAATCAGGCAGAAAGATAGAAAGGCCGAGTTCTGAAGGTTTGTGAGGTTGGAATTTAGGCTCCCTACGTAAGTGCCGCCACACAGCTTGAATGACGTCTTCTTGACAACTAATCGGGCCTCGGTCCTGGATTACCTGTGGGCTACTCAGCAACTTTTCCGTTCTCTCCTATGGTCTCCCCTGTATCGCAGAAGTTGGAAACCTGGGAACTACATTTCCAGGTCAAATCCCACCAGTGAGAGGCACTCATGGGCGGTTCGGAAGATAGTTGAGGGGCAGAAATCACATTGTTTATTTCTCTCTGGCAGATGGAAAGATGGCTTCAGCAGACAGGGGTTCTGCTATGGTACCTCCCAAACTCAGCCACCTCAGCACTCCTGGCAGTCGTGGCCACAAACAGAGGTTTCCTGCAGCTCCTCCCAAATCCCAACTCTGGAGAGCTGGCAGGAACCCGGAGCCCCCAGAGCTGTCCCTGACCCCCACCCTCCAGGCCTCCTCCTAAATCAACGAGGGGCAAGTTTTGCCGGGAATGCCTAGACTGGTCTCTGTCTTACCAAACCATGACCAGTGCCACTTCTGAGATTAGGAGACTGTTTGCAAACCAGCCAGAACCTTTTTATCTGGACAAGACCCAGGAAGTGTTTCTTATCCTTATGCCAGAGAGGTGACAACTGTCTTGACATTTGTACTGCTCGTTCCTTTGCTGTTCCTCATGGCTCTACCTGTGTGTCTGTCCCCAAGCAACAGCTGCCGAGTTTTGAAAGCAGAGGGCGAGCACGCAGGAGCCATAGGAGAGGGCGGCAGTGCCCCTGCTGGACGAAGGCTCTGGGAGGAGGTGAGCGGGTCAGTCTCCAGGTCGTGGTCTGGCTTCTGCTTCTCTGGGTGTTGACAAGGCCCCGTCTGGGAAGGTTACGAGCAAGGTCACGAGGCAGTCTCGGGAAACAGAGAGAGTCGTGTGCCCGGCAGGGCTCAGGTGTGGGCCAGGTACCGGACAAGCAGCAGAAATACCCTCAGCGTGGGGGGTGCCCTGTCCCTTCTGCTCCTAAGCTCACATGGCCCCCCTCCAGCTCCTGGGGAAAAGCTGGAGACTCCCGTGGGTGATGTGCGTGTCCTCAGCAGAGCAGGAAGGGAGAGACCCTCAGCAGCACGTGCTCAGGACAAGGCAAGTCCTGCTGAGAACCTGGGCCAAGCTCTCCTGGGCATTCTGTCCTCACTTAAAGATGGCCTGAGGGAAGTGGCGTCTTGGTGATGACAGTCCACCTCCCGCGTGGCACTGCTGCGGCATGGCGCACTCGCCCCCCGTGTCTGGTGCCCAGCTGTCCCCCGGGGTCACGCTCACCCTCCTCCATGGGATCCCCTGGCCATGGTTTCTGGATTGGGCTCCCGTTTCCTGTATCTGTTTTCTTCCTTCTCAGTTCCTTGTTTGTTCGGGTAGAGCACATCCTCCTTGAGAAAAGGCGCTTGGGAGGTAACTTTGTCCATTCAAGCTGCTATAACAAAACACCATAGACTGGGTGGCTTATAAAAACCAGATTTATTTCCCACCGTTCTGGAGGCTGGGAAGTGCAAGATCAAGGCACCAGCAGATTTGGTGTCTGCTGAGGGCCCCCTTCCTGGTGCAAACATGGCAGTCTTCTCGCTGTGTCCTCACATGACGGAAGGGACAAGAGAGCTCTCTGGGGCCTTTTTGATAAGGGCTCTACTCTCATGACCTGATCACCTCCCAAAGGCCCCACTCCTAACACCTTCGCGTTGGGGATTAGAATCTCAACGTGAATTTTGGAGTGTACGGACATTCAGACTACAGCAAGCAGGCAAATTTTTCGAGAACTTGCATGTCTGGAAATCACTTTACTACTATGGCTCATTCCTGCTGGAAAGTCTAGCTCCGGAGTGTGGCCCGCCTCGAGGCCCATCTGGTGAGCCCACCCTGGATTTTAGAAACCTCCCTCTGGTGGCCAAGGTGAGGGCAGCCCAAGGGGGACACCTTGGCTGGATCCCTGTCTCTGTCCCACCCCTCCTCTGCTGCTCTGCCAGCCTGGCCCAGCCCTCAGTGCCCTTGGGATCTGGGTCACAGGCTTGCCGCCCCCCAAATTCTGCAACCGCCCTCCATGGCCCCAGCCCCTCGGCCTCCTGCTCCGCCCCCATTCCGGCTGGCCCCAGCCCCTGGCGGACCCTGGCATTCTGCACCTGCTCTGCCTCCGCAGTGACCATTCGCTGTCAATCGCTGTCCCCCCGCTCTTCCGGTCCTCGAAGTCCTGGTGGGGGACAGGAGCCCACCCGTTTCGGGGACAGCCAGGGCCACAGGGCTCCCCCACCCCACCCGCAGATCTCTGCGCTTTTCCAAAACCGAGAGTCCAGCCCCCGGCCCCGCATCCAGCTCTACCGGTCGGTCACACGCAGGCCTGGCGACGCCCCAACACCGGCCTCCCCGTCGTCTTTCACGCCCCCGTGGCCGGCTGGAACCCGGTCCGAGGGCCCAGGAGCTGCCTCGAAAGCAGCTCAGGGTTGTCGGACCCCGGGTCCCAGGGAGCCCGCAGCACTGCCCTCCTGTCCCCTCCCGCGTCCGCCCTTCTGCGCCTCTGAGGCAGAGGCCTGACCCCGCCCGCGCGCGCGCGCTCCCGCCGTCCCGACCAGCCGGGGTCACCGTCCGCGTCCCCTCCCCCACCACAGCCTGACTCTGGCCGCACCCCACAAACCCTTTCCCGGGCGCCGCAACGAGTCCAAGGCCCGCGCCTCTGCTCCCTCCTCCCGGGGCCACCGGCTCCCGGGCCCTCGGCCCGCCCTCGCCGCCGCCTCCCGGCTCTGCGTCCGGCCGCCAGCGGGGGCCCCCGTGCCGGACAGCGGGCCGCGCCGCGCGCGCAGGGGGCCGGAGGCGCAGGCCCGGCGCGGCCCGGAGCCCAGTGGCCCGTCGAGCGACCCAGGGGCGCCGCCGCCCGCCGAACCCCGACCCGGCCCCGGGCCCCGCCCGCGCGGCCGGCAGAGGCCCGCCCCCTGGCGCGATTGGCCGCGCCCGCCCAGCTCTGTGCGCGACGATTGGTCGGCCCACACGTCGGTCAGGCCGAGCGCCGCCGAGGCGGCGGTGGCGGCGGAGGAGAAGCGAGCGGGACCGGAAGGGTCGAAGCGACCCGGCGCCCCTCACACCCACTGCGGCGGCGGCGGCGGCGGCGGGGCGGAGCGGAGCGGGGCGGCGGGCTGAGCCCGGGCGGCCGAGCCGGCAGCGAGCAGCACGCAGCGCCGCCAGTCCTCCCGCCCGCCCTCTCCCCGTGCGCGGCGGCGGGGAGGCGAGGTGAGCCCGGCGGGCGGGCTAGGCCCGGCGGGGCTGCTGGGGCCGGGCCCCGCGGGAGACGGCGGCGGGGGCGCCGCGCGGCGGGGTCTGCGGGGCGGGCCCGCGTCTGCGGGGCGCTGCGGCCGCCGCCCTGGTCCCCCGGATGCGGCAGTCGCCGCCTCCCACCCGGCCGTCAGCAGCCCGGGGCTGCGGGCCCGCTCCCCGGCCCGGCCGCGCGGACCCGCCTGGGGGTCTGGGGCGCCATCCCTTCTGACCGGGGGCGTGCGGCCGCCCTCCTGCCCTGGGGCCCCCGCGACCTTGGCTGGGGCACTGATCCTGCTTTCCCTCGGTTTTCCCCTCGGGAAAACGGGGAAATGTCTGCTCTCCTGGACAGGGTTGTTGTCGGGCGGTGTGAGTATGGAAGCGCCTGGGCGGGAGCCCAGCGCACATTTGTGGAAAACTGGGCGGGATACTGCCCCTTGCCGGTGTGGATGTGATAGGGACCCCTCCCCATGCGCCCAGGGCCCCCTCCCCCCGCACGCCTCCAGTGCCTTGTCATTGCACCAGTGCCCAGAGCAGGTACTGCCCACCTTGCTTGCCACTCCTCCCTACCCCACGACACTGCTCTTCCTCCCACTCATCTGCTCAGCTGCCTTGAACATGCCAACCCCCGGTTGCCCCAGGACCTTTGCACTTGCTATTCCCCATGTTTGGAGTTGTCTCCAAGATCTTTGGCTCTTTCCACTCCTTCCTCTGATCAGATGTCTCATTTTTGGTGAGGCCTTCCTTGACCACCCTCTTTCTTCCCTTAGTCCTTCTGTTTCGTTATTTTGTTTAATTTCCTTCCTAGCACTCACTCTGGTTTGAAACTATTCTGTTTATTTCTGTCTCCCCCACTAGGATGTAACTTTATGAAAACAGGTAGCTGTCTGATTTGTCCACTGCTTTATCCCAGTGCTTAGAAAGCACACCGTAAGTATTCAGTAGTATCAGTTCAATGAATGAATGAGTGATCTAAGGAATGACCCTGCCTGCTTGTTGTCTCTGCTGTACCTGTTCATGCAGTGGCTTCTAACTTGTGACACTTATAAGCAGAGGGAAGCTTCTTCTCATTTTGTGAAACATTTTAATGTCCTTGACCCCTTTATTTGGTAACTGTCAGAACAAGCTGTGATACAAAATATTACGTTTTTGTAATAGTTTAGCTCTAGCTTTCTTCCACACATTCAGGAGACATTTCCTGAATTCTGCATTTTCTAGGTCACACTTAATGCTCAGCCTCAGGGACAGAAAGGAATAGCAACAGGGTCCCTTCCCCCAGAGAGTCCAGGAGCTCAGTGGGGAAGGCAGGCGCGCAGACAGCCGCAGGACAGTGCGGGGCACCTGCTGCCGTGGGGGGGCTGCGCCGTGGAAACGTGGAGGAGGTGACAGGTGGCGCGGGTGGGCCTTGAGGTGATGAGAAATTTGCCGGGCAGGGAGAGGCACAAGTGAGAAAGGGCAGGGCCAAGGGAAGATCTTAGCTCAGCGTGGAGCTGGGAACCGGCCTGCAGGGCCAGGTATAAGGGCACAGAGTGGCAGGGACCCCAGAGAACCGGAACCTCACCCAGCCATTTTCTAAAAGAAGGCAGAATTCCAAATTTGTATTTATGCTCTTCTGATTTTTAAATGTTGGCAATAGCTAATTAAAATTTTTTTAGGACACTGTGATTCCAGCCAAATACAGACCTTCAGCTCGGTTGCGGGACAGTCAACCTCCAGGACAGGCTGTGTGGGAGGGAGGAGCTGCGATGAGCTGGAAAGGTAGCCTAAGGCCAGGGGAGGCCCTGCTTGCCTGGGTACCAGCCCCGGTACTCATTTGGTTATCGTTGGAGCCCTGTGATTAGCAGCTGTGAAACCCACTTTTACCAGGGGAGAAATAGAGACTCATGGGAGTGCAGTCGTCTGCTTCATAGCAAGCAGCTGGTAAGCGGAATTTGAACCCAGGCCCCCCCCAAACATTCTTTCCTGGGTCCCTTGGCTCTGAGTATTCTCTGTTGGCTTTTACTGTGTTCTGGAAGAACATGTATTCAATGTTTTCCTCCATTTAACCTTTTTTTTCCTTCAAAAGGATCCTGTAGGGCTGAAAATAATCCTATTTTGTATAGTCTTCTCTGGAGAGCTTTGATTTTCCTGAGAATTTAATTTGCATGGTGCCAGGACTTTAAAATAATTTGTTGACAGATTAAAGTCTGTTTATTTCGTTCCCTAAATAAATGTTAGAAAGTATACTGGAACTTGTCTATTTAAAATCTTAATTTTCTGGGTAAAGAAAAGTGCCAGATGAAGCAATTAATGCTGAGTAAACCAGTTGTTTTCATGATGCATAAGATAAAAGCCAGATGTTTTTCTTAAGAGTGTTAATTTGGCACTAGGGCAGCTACTTTTGGTCTAAATATGTGCAGTAGTTATACTTCACACTTGGTTAGGAAGGTCCCATTTTTACATAATTTGCCTTAATAATTCATTCTTAATTTTTATTTGGCCTTAATAATTTGTGATTGATTATATGAACTAGTTTCAATATCAGTCTTTTTATTTTAGCCATCTATTATGAGGGCTTTCAAACATATGCAGAAATCGAGTGTCCAGCTTCAACACTTACTGACTTCTGGCCAATCTTATTTCATCTGTAACATCCTCCAGTTAATGCATTTACCTCTATATTATTTTCATGCAAATCCTGCGTATCATATTATTTCATCCATAGATTTTTCAGTGTCTATCTCTAAATAAGGACTCTTTTAAACTTCAAAAACCAATAATTCTTTAATATCATCAAATAACCAGTCAGTATTCAAATTTCTAGTTGTGCCATGAATTTTACAGTTTCTTTAATATTAATAGTTTGAAGGTGGATCCAGATAAGAACCATACATTGTGATTGGTTGATATGTCTTTTAAGTTTCTTTTAATGTGTAGATTTCACCTCTACTTCTTTTTTGTTTTCCTTGTAGTTTATTTGTTGAAGCAACTGGGTTGTTCAGCAGCATTTCCATAGTTGATAACTGATTGCATCTCTGCAGTGTGATTTAATGTGTTTCTCTTTATTTGCTGAAAATTAATAGCTGGATCTAGACAAGGCGTGGTCAGATTTAGGGTGCATACTTATGTCAGGATGCCTTCCTAGGTGGGCTGTGTGCTTCTGTCTAGAGACACCCTGAGGTTCTGTGCCCATCCCGATTTTACAGATGAGTACATTCGCTTGCCCCAGGTCACCCAAATAAATGGCAGACACACTGGGAGTCTAATTCCAGGATCCTGATCTTACCCACTGCTCCACTCTGCCCTACCACATTTACTGTGCTTAGTTTTGCCTTTAACAGACATTTACTGGGCACCCACTGTGTAGTTAGTAGAGGATTGAGAAATAAATCAGACACATTTTTGGCCCTTAAGGAACTCAGAGTAGCAGCGGAGATGGACCTGCAATGCAATATGAAACGAATACAGATCAAGTGGTAAAAAGGGGGCATGCCCGGCACAGTTCGAAGGGAAAGGATGTAGAAGAAAACTTAGAAGAGAGGCAGGTGCTTGAACTAGATTTTGAAGGAGAACGAAGGTTGACCAGGAGAGCAAAGGGGAGAGGGAAGTCGTCTCAGGCAGATGGAACAGCTCGAGGTCTGAGGTGCGCAGTAGCCTGCGCGTCCGCTGGTCCCAGGTGGTTTGACGTTGCCAGAGAGTGGGCCAGGGCCTGCTATGCTGTTCCAAGGAACCGAATCTTATTGTCAGGCAGTCAGTCTTGGGGAGGGAATTCAAACAGGAGAATGGTATGATCACTGCATATTTTCAACAAATCTCTGTTCTTAAAATCCCTTATTTAGAAATAAGTATAAATTCACAAGAAGTTACAAAAGTAGTACAGAGAGGTCCCATGTACCCTTCACCCAGTTTTCTCCAGTGGTTGTATATTTACATAATTATGATACAGTATCAAAACCAGGAACTTGGCATTGGTGCAATGTGCGTACAGTTCTTGTCATTTTTTAATCACATGTGGAGACTTGTATAAACACCACCACCACAGCAAGGTTCAGAACTGGTTTATCATCCCAAAGATCTCCTTGTGCTACCCCTTGAAAGCCACGCCACCTTACCCCGGGCAGCCACTGATCTGTTCTGCATCTCCATAATTTTGTCATTGCAAGAATGTTGTGTAAATGGAATTTTACAGTATGCGACCTTTGAGATCAGCTTTTTTCACTAAATATAATGCCCGAAGATCCACGGATCGGGAGTTCGGTGGTTTTAATTGCTTAGTAGTAGTCCACGCGATGGATGTGTTTAACCATTCACGCACCGCAGGACATTGGATTGTTTCTGGTTTTGAGCTATTACAAATGAAGCTGCTGTGAACATTTGTGTACAGGTTCTCGTGTAGACAGATCCCTCTTCCTAAGGTGGCGTGTGTGCAGTGGTTTGCACGCGTCCGGAACGGAGACTGGAGAGCACTTCTGCTGCGTCCGGGTCCCCGGAGCCATGAGAAGGCCTTACGCAGGGCACTGGGGGTGTGGGCTTGAAAGGGGCAGAGTGAGCAGGCCTGGTGGATGAAAGAGGGCTGGTGGGGAGGGTCCTCGCTGGGTCCTTGGCAGTAGGTGAGGCGATAACCACATGCTAGTTCTTACTCTGTGGCGGAGTGTGTACGATAGCTTAAGAACTGACGTCTGGAGGATGGCCCTGGGAGACTGTAAGGTTCTTGATTATCAAAGAAAAGTTACGTTGTTGCACTAAGGTATTTTTCTTAAGAATTAAAGTAGGAAAGTAGAACAATTTGCTGAAAAAATTTCAATAACAAGTATTAAAAAGTGATGGTAAGAATCTGCTTTTAATCATAGCTGTCAGGTGGGTATTTTGAAACTATTGTGATTAAAGGTTGAATTGAATCTGTGGATCACTGACTCACCTTCATCATCAGGGGAAAAAGTGTTTTGGTAGGGGAAGCCAGCAGGATGAAACGGGAAGGCCTGGTCCTGACCAGCCTTGGACACAGGGCTTTGCTTTCTAAATAAAATTAGGGATGTCAGAGTGGTGTGTTGGGAGGAACATGAATATTGTGGTCAGACCACCTAGATTCAAATCTGGGCCATGCTGGGAATTTGGGCAACTCCCTTACTGTCTCCAAAACTCTGTTTCCTCATTGGCAGAGTGGGGGTAGTAAAACAATGCCCCTCACAAGTTGTTGAGAGAGTGTTTATAAAGGCGACGTGGACCCTGGCCCACTTTCCTGCCCCCAGTCTCACCTGCCTCAGACCCATCCTCCATGCATGTGTCAGAGTGATCATTCTGCAGCTCTTCCTTTAACATTTTTTGTTTAATCAGTTTTTAAATGTGAAATGTGTGCACGTTTTTGTTTAAAAAATCAGAACAGAAAGTTATAATGAGAAGAGTGAAAGTTTCTCATTTCCTCATTTCCTACTATTTCTCTATACTTCCTAGCATAGTGTGTGTGTGTCTTTTTATGTAGATTGTCATTTATTATGTGTACTCTTCTTCAGCTTGCTTCATTTCCTGTATGTATCTTAGACATCTTTCCATATCAATACATAAAGTCCCTGCATTCTGTTTAATGGCCTTATTATACTTTTATGCCATAATTTATTCAGTCAGTCCACAACGTACATTTTAGGTTAGTTCTGTTTTTTTGTTTGTTTGTTTGTTTGTTTTTTGCCTATTCCAAGAAAAGTGCTACAAACATCCTTGCACAAATATCTTTGAATACTTGGACACATATATTTGTCAGATACGTTTATAGAATTGTGGTTGTCAGGTTAGGATTCATGTGCATTTAAAATTTTCATTAGCTATTACCTATGTTCCTTCCAAAAAATGTTTTACCAATTTACAGTTCTGACCACATGTGTGGAGGTACTCATTTCTTCATGCTCTGGTTGATACTGTGAACAGACCTGAGCTCAGGTCTTGCCTCCTCCAGGAAGCCTTTCTGCATATCCACCCATCTCTCCCTGTACTCATTCACTCCCTTCCCTGCCCACTTTTGAGGAGCTCATGGCCTGGGGGAGGAAGGCAGACCTGCAGAAGCCATTGCGGCTCGGCCTGCCGGTGGTTGCGGCACCGCGCAGAAGCAGCGCAGAGGGAGCCCATGCTGGACCGAGGGTGGTGCCAGAGCAGTACGGCGCCGCCCGTGTGGCTGCATGAAGAATTCGTGTGCTTCCCACTTCGTAAAACTGTGTTCTGAGCCCCACTTGATGGTCTATTTTGTTGAAATATAATCTCAACAGTTGACTCACTAATAGCTAAATTACATGCTTTCTCAGGTTACCTTCAGGTTCTTTCTCTTGCTCTCATGAAGCCGAAGCTTGACAGAGAAGGTAGCTTTGACAGCTTCTCTCTCAGGTGATTTTTTTTGCTTCCTAATAAGGGCAACTTATTTTAATTTTAGAATTGTTTTAAATCTTGAGATGAAATTATATTAATAATTCTAGAACCTAGTATGATTGAATGTACTCCCAAAATTAAAAGAAGCTAAGCTAACATTGTACTTACTAGTATAGGTTACAGCCAACTGTAGCAGAGACTTGCAGACTGCTCGACGGGGTTGAGGCTGATTTGTGGCAGTCCCGACATGGGCAGGTGGCCCAGAATTGGGGGCAGCTCTGTGCCACAAGATCCTTCAGGAATCCGGCTGGTGGGCAGCTCTACCATCAACAGCATGTGACTTCTGTCTCTGGGTCTGTGACAGCTGGTCCTTCCGCTAGCAGCAAGGGAGAAAGATAGATTTGGAGAGCAAGCAGCTTTCTACAAAAACGAATGTGATCTGGAAGTTGCGTACATTACTTCTACTCACATTTCATTGGCCAAAAGTTGGTCAACTGGCCATACCTGGCTGCTGGGAAAGCTGCCAGATACTGTCTCTAGTTGAACAGCCATTTGTCCCACAGGAAAGGCGAAGCTTCTGTTACTAAAGCGAGGACGAGGACAGGAGGAATGAATCTTGGAATATCTCAGCACCTGTGCACACCTCTGGGGGTTTGATGGCTCCCACGGCCCTCAGGACCGAGCCCAGATGGCTCCTCCCGGGCTCATGGTGATCTGGCCTCATTTTCTCTCTTCGCTCCGTTCTCCCTCTGTCCAGCAAAACTAAATCTCAAATGACTTGCCACATTCAGAGTGTGCCTCCACCTGTCTATAGATGCTACTTCTCCACCCCATAACCCCTAATCTTTTTTATCCTTTGGGGTTTAGGACCCTCCATGTGTGGGGTCTCTTCCTGGGTATGGGCTCCCTGAGGACAGGCACTGTGTTCTAGCACAGGACCTCATCTGCAGTGGGTGCTCAGTAAATGTTTTGAAATGACCAGTGTTGCTGGTGCGTTTATAATGTTGCAGAGAAGCAGCTGCCCCCAGTAGAGCAGTTGTAGTGGGTGCCTGCGTTTTTGCCAAGTCTGCCTCTAATCCTTTGCACTTACCCTCCTAGCCAAGCTGAGCAATTCACCATGTCTGGGCACAGTCAGTTTGAGCTCTGTGCCTCTGCTGTCCAACTCTGACAAAATAATCTAAGGCAGATGCCGCCTCCTCCGTGAAGCCTTCCTTGTCTTCTGTACCCCTGCCAGAGGGTAGGATCTCTTTTGCCTTTTGATTTTGTTTACATTTTGCTTATGGCCCTTACCTTGTATTATAATATGGATAATAGATTCGCTCCTCACACTTCTACCCCCAATAGAGAATTACATGCTGCTTCAAGACTAGTTCCATGGCCGGGTGTAGTGGCTCACACCTGAAATCCCAGCACTCTGGGAGGCTGAGGCGGGAGGATTGCTCGAGGTCAGGAGTTCGAGACCAGCGAGAGCAAGAGTGAGACCCCATCTCTACTAAAAATAGAAAGAAATTATCTGGACAACTAAAAATATATAGAAACAATTAGCCAGGCATGGTGGCACATGCCTGTAGTCCCAGCTTCTCGGGAGGCTGGGGCAGAAGGATTGCTTGAGCCCAGGAGTTTGAGGTTGCTGTGAGCTAGGATGACGCCACGGCAGTCACACTAGCCAGGGCAACACAGTGAGACTCTGTCTCAAAAAAAAAAAAAAAAGACTAGTTCCTGCCTGACCATGGTGTATTGCCTATAGTACTTACCACTTTCTTGTCCAAAGTCACCCCCTAAATGTTGAGTTGAATTGTTTCAGCCTCCTGCAAACTATAAATAAGTTCATCTCTAGAAAAGGATATTGCTTCAGATGTCAGTAAAATGGAGCAGTATTGTGGGGAATTACTAAATGCCGTTGTATGGGTCAGATCAGCAAAGATTTATTGAATGCGCACACCCTCCCAGGGACCAGGGCCTCCCTGTCCGCGGAGTTCGAGATGCCATGGTGAAGGACACAGACCTGTTCCCCTTCCTGGAGCTCAGGGCACAGTGACCTGGCAGCCCAGGTCAGCTCCTGAGTCCCCTCACAGGAGTGTGGCCTGGGCAGGTGTTCCAGCTTGCTCCGCCTTGGATTGCTCCAGTGTAGCGTGGGGCTGATAATCCCGCTGCGTGGGTCGTTGTGCGCGGTTGTCCAGCATCGAATGCAGTGTGGTGTCCCTGGACCCGCCCTGACCCGTGCTAACGGCTCTCGGCAGGAGCAGCTGGTCAGACTAGCAGCTGCAGCTGCAGCCACCACCCTGGGAACGGTGAGAAAAACAGAGCAGTGGTCAGCTCGAGAAATTATTAATTTGACTTCAGTTCTTTGTTTTAGATGTTATTAATTTATTTCCATATTTAAGGAAAATCCTCAACACTATTGTGTTGAAATACAAATCATCACTACAAAAATCTCATTGAGTAGATGTGAAATATTACATGGTAGAATAAAAAATCAAGGAATTTCATGGAGCTGTAGGATAAAATTTGTTTTTTTAGGCAATATGGGATGTTTACATGTATGATTTTATTGTAGGGTTTATAATTTTAAAAAAGACCAAAATAAACCACTTGCTGACTTTTTTTTTTCTTTCCTCACTTGCTGACTTTTAAATAAACGTCATCAGACAAGAGCCAGGGAGCCAAGTAAATGTAACCGCCCCCTGATTTCTGCTTGCTTGTTTTCCGTGTAAAATCATCCTGGCTTCTGCAGAGTGGGAACCGTACGTAGCCTGCCGCCTAAACCCTGTGGTTTCAGTGCTGCTTTCTGGGGCCGCCAGTTTATACTCAGACGCTCGTGAATAAACTTCATAGTGTTGATAGTATTGACTGTGGCTCACAGCAGAGTTCTCCGTATGCGGATCTCTCTACCGAATGCCCGTGGGGTTACAGGACTCGGGGGCTGCAGCCCAGCACCGGGCCCCCTCCTGAGGCAGGAGCACACCCTGGGCACGCACAGCACACCAGTGTCACCAGTCCTCTAACCGCCCGTCACTTGGCGTATGAATCTTGCTTTCTGGTTCATCACCTTAACCTCACTTAGCAGAAGACTGGTCCATTTGCTTTTCTTTAGGAACTCTAGAAGTGATCGCTGGAACGTCGCCCCATCTCTGGTTGAGACAGCTAGGCGTAAACTGGTCCCTCAGGAGGCAAGCTGATGGGCGTGTACCGTGACGTAGTCTTTTCGTGGCCGATAGTAATGTGTAAATTCTTTTCCCCACGGGTGGTTCTTTTCTAATCTGAACCCTTAAAATGTGGTCTTGCTGGGCTCAAAATTTCTTCCTTTTATAATAGTCTTATACCACTGAAATGTCTTTGCATTTTTTTTGTGTCTTGCTTAGTTAAGTTCAGAACTTGGTGAAACTGAGTTTATCAACTTAATAGCCAGGTTGTCTTACATACCAATGAGTTTGAGATGCTATTAAGTGAGCTGTGTGCATACAATTTCAGTGAGAACGCACATTTTGTTTTTCCTTGAAGGAATTTGACACCTTGCCAGCCCGTGGAACATTGCATGACACGCATCATGAGTGACAGCGAATGTGACAGCCAGTTTTACAGTGTGCAGGTGGCGGACTCGACCTTCACCGTCCTGAAACGCTACCAGCAGCTGAAACCCATCGGCTCTGGGGCCCAGGGGATTGTTTGGTACGTGTGGTCTGTTTCGATAGCGTGGATTAAGTTTTTGCTATAATGGAAAGTAAAACTGAATCATCAGAATTTAGAAATACTGATGTTAAGAAATATTCTTTGTTACAGGTTTATGAGCTAAATTGAACCAACCTGTTGCTCTAGTTCTGTGTAGTCAGGCTGTAGGGTACAAACTCAGATTCTTAGAACGCTGCATAAATTTAAATAGGCAGCAATTTTTCTTTTTTTTTTTTGGTTTGTTTCTGTTTTGCTTTTTTTTTTTCATTTCGCCTGTCGTTATGATATCAGAGTAGTAGGTATGACAGTGAGCTGTAACAGAAATTTGGCGTTTTATTCATTTCTTCATCATGGCCACCTTTTCCCCTCCCCCTTTTATTCCCAATCACTCCTGTTCATTTCCAGGCACATCATTGCAGTGCCTGCCGTTCATTGGCAGGATGAGGCAGTCAGTGTCATTATCACTCCATGGATTAACCAGGAAGGGATGCCGTGTGAGGGTTGGGCTGGCCGTCTCTCCCTTGGTGTCTCACTTCAACTCTGTGTCCAGCCCAGGACGTCAGAACCGTTAGTCTGACCCTGAACCTTAGTCTCTTGCATGGTAAGACAGTCAGCTGCCGCGACATCACTGGCCAGCTAAAGGTAAAGTTTTTCACATGTTTTCTAGACTACAGTTATCAGCACTTCCCAAACTTTATTCTGGGCAAAACTCTTTTTTTTTTTCTTTTTTTGGTCAATGAAAACAAGATTATCTTTGTATCTACAAGAAACTGTGACGAAGCTAAACATCTGATGTTTACAGCTGGTAGGAAGAGGGGATTCAAGACGAACGAGAACTCTGTGGGAGTTCTGGCAGGAGAGTTCAAGTTTACATGTGAAACTGTCGCGCTTGGAGAGTCATCATCAGCGGTTTTTAACGGATCATCTGTTGCAGAGACACGTGATCAGGGAAATCGGTTGTTTTCTTCAGCTTAGGTGGTTGAAGGCCCTGGGAGCTGAGAGGAGATTGCAGTCCAGAGCTTCTGAGAAAAACTAACAGGGGAGAAGGGGCTGTTTGGAAGGAATGCCAGCCTGTGTCTAAAATAGTGATGATCTTAACTTCCAAACGGTAACACCTATGTTGGTACTGAAATCCAGTGTCGTGCCAAAAGAAGTTTTAAAGTCAGTGGGTCGTTCACATTAGGAAACTTGGATGGTAATAAAAAGTTGTAAACAACAAAATACTCTTTTTATTTATAATCCATCTCTTATTTGGAATTAGATGGTAATTTGACACAGATAATTTGGCGCGTGAGAGAGAGAGGAGAAAGAGAGGTAGCAAGAAGCAGGAAATAGCAAAGGTCTAGCTGGGGGCAGTCGTTTAGGGCTGTAGACAGGTAACCGTTTTAAACATGGGCTTCGTTTATCCCAACTGGCTTGTTATTCACTTGTTTTGAAAGTCAGTAGCAATGAAAACATTATCTGGTCACTGTGGACTCTGCCATAAACTCATTGTATAAATGGCGAAATTGGGACTGAGAAGGTTTGTTGACTTCTCCCCGTCTCACGGGGTGTCAGTGACAGGCCTGGGCTTAAAACCCAGCTGATGGCCTTTTGGGACCAAAGATTTGTACTGAGGAAAGGTTTGTTGATTACTTTGAACCACTGGTATTTTTTGACATGACCTAACCTCTCTTTAGAATCTTAGTAATAATGAGTAAATATTCACTAAATGCTATTAGAAAGTTCTCTGTTACTTGTCTTTATCTCTCTGTAAGACAACGGTTATGTTCAAGAACAGTTTTAATTTTTATAGCTATAACTGATACTCAGTTTTATGGTGTCCTCCCATCTTATGCTCTGATGGAGAAAGTGAACGATTCGTAAGTGATTTTAGCTTCCTTTTCCCCCTTTCTCTTTTGTGTCCATGCTTCACCAGCCTGTGAGGCACCAAGTGGAACTGAGAAGCAATCTGGTTATGGTACATCCTGTTTTAAAAAAAAAAGCTTGCTTTTCTTAAAATAAACTCAACAGTAGATTAGCTACAACTTTGACAGGAGGAATTGGGTTTTCTATCATATTCCTTCTTAAAACATTGCCGTTATACCTTTAATTGATTTGATGATCCCAAACTTCCTTTTGTCACTGTTGTACTTTAAAATCATCTATCCATGATCTTTTGGGGGTGTGGTAGCAGAGTAATGGCCCTGCCAGAGATGTCCACATCCTGACCCCCGGGATCTGTGAGCATGGTACTTCACATGGCAAAAAGAACCTTGCAGATGTGATCAAATCAATGATCTTGCAATGGGGGTCGTCCTCGATTAGCGGGGGGTTCTTCGTATAAAGAGAAACGAGGACGGTCGTAATCACAGATGATGCGATGGCAGCAGAGTCTGGAGCGACACAGGCCACAGCCGAGGAACATGGGCAGCTGCTCAAGCCGGAAAAGGCAGGAGCAGATTCTCCCCTCGCGCCTCCAGAGAGCGTGGTCTTGCTGACACCGCGATCTCAGCCCTGTTTAAGACCCATTTTGGACTCTGATCTCCAGAACTATAAGATAATAAATATGTGTTGTTTTAAACCAGTAAATTTGTGGTAACTTGTTACAGTAGCAATAGGAAACTAATACAGGGGGGCATGTGTGTTTTTACATTTTTGAGAAATAAAATATCATAATAGCACCAGTGTATGATTTATACAACTAGTTAATCTTCTGTATAAATTAGAGCTTCATGAAGACCTAGGGCAGGTGTGCAGATGAACCAAAGTGCAGGCAGGGCTGGGGACTTTTACAGGAGTAAATGGAAGAGCTGGAACCAGAATAAAGTATTCTGACTCCTAGTTTTGAATTGTTTTTATAGATGTCTTTGATTTGTTTGTTTCTAGGTTTTTGTTCCTTAAAAACATTAGTAAAATTTATTAGGAAATAAGTTTTAGAATGTTTATCATTTTGAAGTATTAATAAATATCAACTAAGTAATATAGTAAAATTAAGTAATTGCAAGATTGGGGAAAATATATGTACATTTCTTTCATATGTATATTTAGTTTTTCTTTCTCCTTGTAAAGTCTCAAGTTCTTCAAGCCGTGCGTGGTGGTGGCACTTGTAGTCCCAGCTACTCAGGAGGCTGTGGCAGGAGGATCTCTTGAGCCCAGGAGTTCGAGGCTGCAGTGAGCTATGATCATGCCACAGCACTCCAACCTGGGTGACAGATCAAGAGCCCGTCTCTAAAAAATAAAAAACAATAATAAATAATATTTTAAAAATCTCAAGTTGTTCCACCAAAAAGTAAAGATTATTCAGTTTATGAAACAGTTCTATGAAATGTTCAACCTTTTAAAAAAAAGTTTAATATTCAGTCTGGCAGTACTTAGAAGTAACAATTACAGTATAGCTGTAATCAGTATAGCTTTAATATTAGTATATATAATATATATTATATACAATATAATAATAGTATAGAAATAATCAGTATAGCTTTTATTCCTTTTTCTTTTCCTCTAGTTCTGTACAAGCGTGAGCATTGGCCTGATCCTAATACTGTTTTATTTTCTATTAATATAAATAAATAAAAACATGATGTTTATAGTAAAATTTGTATGATGAAGGAGACAAATGGCATAAGGCATACGGTGGGTGTGATTCAGGAGACGTGAGTTCTTAATCCAGCTCCGATCCTCATAGCAGTGGTTCTTTGTGACCTGGGCAAATCACTGTTTCTTTATGGGCCTTAATGTTTCCACCTGTAATGAGTAGTTTGGAATTTCTGATTTAAGACAGTAGATCAGACACCTAAACAAAGGGAACAAGGATGGTAACGAGTAGATGAGAGTTTTAACAAATGTGTAAAATGTAGAAAGTAGTTGGAATCTTGATACAGATAAAACCACAGGGGAAGTAAGAGTAAGTAGACGAGGCATTTGCAACGAGGAAGAGAACCTGTCTGCAGTAGATCGCCAAAGAAGCCATGGGCACAGAGGTGACGGCATGGAAAATGAGGATGAAATGAGGGGCTAAAGCCAGGGCTGTGAATTAACGGCCGGCCTGTGAACAACTGCTCCAGTTTGTTCTCAGCATTCCCACCCCTCCCCCACGCTCAGATTTGCCCTTGGAAAGCTAGTAAGTTAGTGAAGAATTATTAAGTCAGAATCCAGGGAAAGACAGAGGCCTGGTAAGGAGAGCTCAGCATTCGGGTCTGTCTTTGCCGTGGGGGCATTCTGGAAGGGGTGGCTGAGAGATTGGGTAGTATTTTGGGCTGCCTTGTGGCTCGGAGATGGATTAGAGTCCAGGGCCCTCAAAGGAGGCCTAGTGAACTTCCTTGCCTTGTGTTGGGACCGATAAAAGCTGCCTCCTAGAAATAAAGGTGGCCCCGAGATAGGCCCTTGCAGGCACTGCCACTTAGCTTCAAATCATCTCATTGGCTGAATTTGTGCAGAGTTTAGTTCTAAATGCTAGGCTAGTGTCCCCAGATACCCAGCAACAGTAAATGTAAATTCTTTCTGGGGGAAGATAGTATCACACTAGGTAAAATTATTTCTAGATAGCAAACAGTTTTACAATTGCGAGGTCCAGTACACAATCAAAAATAACTAG